CATCTCTAGAGGTTCATCGAAACCCAGTTTATTTTCGTATCGACTGCATAATTGATGAGTATTTCATGGAACAATGCAACGGGGTCTAGAGAGACAGGCATTAAGGGAAAAACAGGGACTTAGACTAATTACACAAAGTACCCCAACTCCCGGACCAAGAAGGAGGGACCAAGACCATAAGACCACATGACCATAATATCACATGACCACAAGACCACATGACTACATGACTACAAGACCACAAGAACACATGACCACAAGAACACATGACCACAAGACCACATGACTACATGACCACAAGACCACAAGAACACATGACCACAAGACCACATAACCATAATATCACATGACCAAAAGACCACATGAACGCCTGAGCCAGAATGATCCCGAAAAGACGCCTGATCGAGCAAAGCCTTGAGCCGTTTGTCCACTCTGTAACTGGGCCCCACGGGCCCGGTAACTCCTCCAGCTGGCGACAGACTTTGCATTTCGAAGGAGAAAGGTCTCGCGACTACTGCCTGCAGCGGCCCATCGCCCCGGCAACCGAAGGAGGCCTGCCGGGAGAGGAGAGCGAATAACGCGGGGTCACACGAACCAGTCCTCGGTTCACCGTCAACCAATGCCACACCAACGACTTTGTGCCACCGTAGCAGATGGCACGAAAGCATTCTCGTCAAAAGGCCTATTCCAAATGGAATGAGCCAAGAAGACACGAGCTGTCCCAAACAATCACAATCACATTCGCGACAGCGAACTGAGGCCGTGTTCGCGTAATCCGACCGTCTTCACTGCACAGCAGTCCTGCTTCCGTTTCCACTCAGACCACGCTACAAACGGCCTCGAAGTGGGAGTGCACGTCACAACAGAGCTCTGAGCAATTCGTCAAAACCCACCTCTGCTTCGTCACTTCTTGCAGCCGGCCAAAACCATGTCTTTGCATGAATGCCTATTCCCCTTCATTCGAAGGTCTAATGCCATCAAATGACTATCAAGTGTTAACAGTGCACAATTGTTACGAGCTGCACTCTTTCATGGCATTCTCATTGCGCGCTTTAACTGATTCCGATCTGCTGCCGCAGCCCGATTTAATGACCACAACCGGAATCAGCAAAGTGTGATTTACGAGAATGCCGTAGACACTGTGCCTTTATGCATTCGGGCATACCAAGAAGTTGGCCCTCACACCCTTTCCAGTGCACTGGCCAAAGCAATTCCTCTAGTCGTCTATAAACCGAGCCAACACTTACCGATCCAGCAGTTCTTGCCGAAATGGCCAAAGCCTCAAGAAACCACAAAGTCATTTGCCAAAATTGTAG